GCAGGATGGAGTCATGCTGATATCCAGGAGTAGCTCCTGGAGACCAGGCAGCTAATCCTCCTGACCCAGATGACCCCCTCACCCCACCTGAGTCCTCTAGCCTGGAAAGGGTACAGTGAAAGCCAGGATAGCAGCTCTAGCCCTGCCTTGTCCATCAGCCAGATCAGTGCAGAGCCAGGCAAGGCCCCAGGTGGTACCCCTTGGGGTTTCCCTGGGCTCAGCAGCCCTGGTCAGGAACAAAGGCCAGGGACCCAGTGTCAGCCAGTGGAGCAAGAAATCCACTTTGCTCCAGGGCAACCTGCCTGTGCTATGTGATCCCGTCCCAGAGCCTGGTTGGCACTTGCAAGGACATTGACATCCCCTGTGCCCTCTGCTGTAGCAACTCCCATCTCATGTCCTATCAGTTCACATGAAGCACCTCACGACACCTGTGAGGTTCTGGCTGGCTACTCCAGGTATCAAACCAGTCCTCCCTCCCCTGCCTGGGTTCTCCTCCCCAGAGGTTTCCTGCCTCCTTCTCAAATCGTTGCTGTCCTCCTGAACTCTTGGCTGGGCATATCTTCTACCTCCCACCTATGATTACCCTGGCTCAAGCATGGCCATATCCTCTGCCTCACCAGCACCCTTCCCATTTCAAAGCCCTGGCCAGCCAGTGGGGAAATTAGGGGCCAGATGGGTTCGTAGCTAGGATCTAAGGTGCCCTCAAAGGAGAGTCAGTGGTCACTAATTCACCCCATCCTGCCCTTGAGGCCTTCATTTATGAGCTCTGGCTCTAGTGTCCTTGAGGTCCCAAGGCTGGTCCAGGGCACAGAGAGCCAGTTAATTGTCCTGGAGGAGAAATCCAGAGAGCTGGGTACAGGCGGGGCTGCCCAGCAGAGGCAGAGCCTAGGTGAGGCTTTCCTAAGGAAGGCCCAAGATTCCAGTGCGGAAGGGTGATAGGCAGGATGGTGAGGGTGGGGTGAGGACAGGATGTGGGAAGGTACGAGGTTGCTGGGATGATGGAGGCAGCCACTGGTCCTGAGGGTGGGTACAGAGAAGAATGGGTGGGGAGGGCACTTAATGGGCTTCCAACCATCTAAGGCACTTGGCAGGCAGGGCTCGGATGATCCCCGTGAAGTTCTTCTCCACACCCAGCTCCATCGGCAGCATTTTCCAGCTCAGCTCTACTGTTATTAACAATCTCAGTCCCTCCAGGCGCCCCTCTTAGCTCTCTCTGCTTGGAGGCATGTTGGAGCCTTCACGCCATGGGCAGGGCCTACTCTGGTCCCAGAGGGGCAACTTGACCCACTTCAGTTCCTGGCAGTGCTGTAGGAAAAGGGACACCCGCAGGGTAAGGGAAGGGTACTGGGGCCCAAATACGCCTCCTGTACCCATAGGACTCTGACCTTAGATGGGGGTACCTCACTGCGCTGGCAACGTGGGCCCTGCATGTCTCCTCACTTTTCTTTTGTGAGAAAATAGTCAATGCTCCTGCCTCGGAGATGTGAGTTGAGGCGTTGTTGCCAGAAGGGCTGAGGACAGCACAGATATGACCTATTCTGGGCAACCTTCCACCAGCAGCACCTCAGACCCCTGAAGACCTCCCCTCAACCTTGGACTGGGAAGCCCCCAGGAAAATCCAGGGACAAGCCTCCTTCTCACCTACCAGGAGGCTTGCCAGTGGGCAAGGCCTGGCATGATGGGCCAGCAGGTGGCCACCTGCCAGGTTACATCTCCCCACAATTGGCTGCTCTTAGCCCTGTTTGGCCACTGGGAGATGAGCAGTCCCATGTTGCCCTGTCCATCTTTCTGACAATCCTCTGAGCCTCCTATTACAGACCCAGCACAGGACTCTGAAAACCACAGCCTGAGGCCTCTCATGCCACCCTCTTAAGGGTCTTCACCCCTTTCAGAGGGAGGATCGGAGTCTGCAATCCCTCCAGGACCAGGAAACTTGGAGTTATCCAGAACATGCTGGAGAAATACTTCCAGATAAGGACTGTACCTAGACTCCTCATGCTGTCCTGGCTTCCTGGTGTCAAGGTGGGGCAAGGGGCCCTGAGCCCTGGAAGAGCAGGGCCCACTCAGCTCCTGACTGTTGCTCCCCAGAAAGCTCCAGGGCTTGGACCCAGCCCAGCAGTTCAGAGTTCACCAGGGGGTGACATGGACCTCCTGATGCCAGTGAGATCTCGACTCTGCCCCTCACAGGCTATATGCAGTGCTCAGTCCCTCAGGAGAGGCCAGGCTGGCACAGTGGCCTCATTTGCCCATGTGGGTGGCAGAGAACCTCCTCAAGGCCGCTGAGGCTGTGATGACTCACGACCAGTGGCTTTATTCCCCTGGAGAACAGGAAATTCACAGCCCTTCCCACCCACTCTCAGCCTGCCAGGAATGGAAGTGGTTTCCCCACTCTTGTCCCACTGTGGGGCAAAAGCAGGGCTGGGGAGGAGTGGGGGGCTTGGAGCCTCTAATCTGTTCCTGTTCTGTGCTGGAGGTAGGGGAGGCAATCATAGCTCACATCTACCCCAGATGCCCCTAGCTGAGACCACTGCCATGGACCCTCCAGGTGCTGTGCTGTACCACCCTGGCACAACTCAATACCCCATTTCAAGGCTCCAGCCCCTGCCCCCATTGAAGCCCAGAGAGTTCCTGAGAGGAGGTAACTGGCTCTTTCTGGCTCACTGGCTGTCCTGCGCCCTCTGATCCGGAGCCTGCCCTTCATCCCTATCCCAGGCCAAGCACTCCCAGACTCCTAACACAGCTGCCCAAGTCATCATCACACTTGTAGAAAAGTGCCGGCAGGTCAGGTGGAAGTGCTCCCAGCCTCATCCTTCACTTTGGGAATCAGTGATGGTGCGTGGAGGGAGGCTGAGAAAGGGGATGAGGAGAGAACGGAGTGGGTCCCTCAAATGGCAGTGGCAGGAGGGCCACCGGGCCATGTTCTGAGCATGTTCTCACCACCTTCTAGCACCTGTTTTCTCCACTCTCAGTTTGAGGTCTGTGCTTAGAGCTGGGTCTGTGTACACGCAGGACTCAGGTGTTCTGGTAGACCCCTCAGGGAAGACCTCCCCTCTCCAGCGTCATAGTCTCCTATACCACTTGTCCATGACAAGACCTGGGGGCTCAAAGAGGGAGGGTCTGGGGGTCATAAGAGGGCCAAGATATCAGATTCACCCATGAGACAGAGATGGTTTGAAAGAAGTGGGAAGTGAGTTGGAAGGGGAGAGAGATCTTTCAGGATGACAGCCACACTCTGGTGTTGGACAGGTGAAGGCTGTACCAGCTGTGGGTGTGCTTAAATGTCACCATGGTGAAATTTATGCTTCGTATATTGCACCACACTTAAAAGCCACACACAAGTCTCCATGGATTTGAGAGCATCTTCTCATCCCTGGGGGATGCCATCCTATGGCTGAACAAAACCCTTTGCCATCCATGCCTGGAAAGGGAGGGATGCTTTCAGTTATATCAACTGGTCATTGGCATCTGTCCAGTCCCAGGCCTTGGACACCACGTAGGGAGACAGATGCCACTTCTTGCCTGGCACTGAGTCTTTCACAATTGCTATTTTCCAGAATTCATAAAGTCCCAGCCAAGCAGGCACCCAGGAAGGATGGGAGCAATGACTTAATGAGATGTCGGGCACAGGGGTTGGGCTCACAGAAGCCCCAGGCCTGCCATGTGAGGGTCCCAGGAAGGCAAAAGAGCTCCAAACTACAGATGCCAGAGAGAGACTGGCTATCTCTCCCACTGCCTGAGCAGGCATTGCTAACCAGCCCTCCACCTTCTTAGACAGGCTTGTCTGTTACTGAAGCAGTTGGTTTAAAAGACAAGACAGGACCAAGTACTTCTGGTGGCACATACCTGTAATCCCAGCACTCGGGGAGCCAAGGCAGTAAGACAACAAATTCAAGCTCAGCCTGGGCTACAGAGCAAGACCCTGTCCGAACAAACCAACCAACCAACCAACCAACCAACCAGCCAACCAACCTCTGAATTCAGGACCCAGACTCCTTGGTTCTAACGTGACTGATGAATACGATCACCAGGGGGAATCTGGCAGGAAGTTTCCAGTGGGTCTGAAGAGACTGCCAGGACCACACCTTGTGCACGGGTGGCTCTGCACACAGTCCCCACATGCTGACCTTACTCGCAAACATGGTTTTCGTTTCCAGCCGCAGCTGCGGCCCTCAGTTGTTTTCCGAGCTCAGTGTGAGTCCTGACAACCTGCAGGCTCATGTACTTTCTGTGCTAACTTGAATAATTGCACTGTTTGGGGGAAAATGAAGCCCAGTCCAGTGCTGGGAGCGACCGAGCCCTCGGGAGGTGACGGAGGTCGTTCCACCACACACAGAAGTGTGCGTGTGTGTGTGCTCCTGATCCCAAGCTCCAGCCAGCCATCGCCAGCCTACCAGAGTCCTTGGCTTACAGGCGTGAAAGTGCCTCCCCCGAGGCTGACAGCAGAGCACTTGTGTTTACCCAGACAGCTATTTGAAGAAAATGCAGAAAGAAATGCAACATTTCTCTCCAGCTTCCTGCCAAGCCCCTCAGCCTATTGAGTTATCCCCATGGGCACATCTGGTAATCTTTTACAGAAAGACTCGGGAGTTCATTTTGCTTAAAGCATGGAGGATCTGAGGTGAGGAGACGCCATAACACCTTCACGCTGAAAATGAGCCTGAAGGACGTTGACCCCCAGTGAATAACTGAACGACCACAGCGCGCCTGCCTGGTCCGCCTGGCGGACTCCGGGAGCAGCGGCCGGGCGCCTCCGGCCCTGGCTTGTCCCCCGCAATCAGCGGAGCGGTGGGTTGGGACCCAGAGCAGGAGCGCACGGGGAGACAGAGCCCCGGGTCAGCCTGCCAGCATCGGGGCGGGGGCGACCCTTCTCCAAGTCCCTCCCGGGGAGCCCACCCGAAACTTCCCGCCGGAGACGCGGGGCAAGCTGAAGGGCACGGCGGCGGCGGGGTCACCCGGGGCTCAGCACCGCGGACAGCTCCGCGCAGCCTCGGCCAACCTACCTGTCATCGTTCTGGAAAGGCTGGTCACCCAGAAGCAGGTCTCGGAAGCGGTACCGCGGCGGCAAGGGCAGCACCTCGGTGTCCAGGTCGTTCATGTTGAGGCTGGCTGCGTCCAGGAGCACGTCCCCGCGGCCTCCGTCCGGCGCGCAGGACCGCCTGCGGGCACACGGCAGCGCCCCTCGCCACCCGCACCCCTGCCCGACGCGCGCAGCCCCCCTGGCCCGGCCTCCGAGACCCCCGGGGGGGCAGGACGGGCACCTGCGGGGGTCTACAGGGGTGGTGCCCGCAGCAGCCCGGGCATGGGGGGGGACGCCTGCAGCCAGGCAGCTCCAGCCCTGCCAGGCTCCGTGGCCCAGGCCGCAGCAGGGTATGCGGAGGTTTGGAGGTGGGAGTGGTCATGGGCAACTCTGGAACAGCGCTCACAATGGTCCCTGGTCCCCCTGGGGCTGGCGTGGGAGCCCTCCCCTTCTCTGGACCTGGGCCAGGCAAGCCTTCCCACCCCCACAGTTGCTCCAAGGCCAGCTGCGCAGCTTTCCTACATGCTTCTCCAACTCGCCAAGGCCTTCTCGCAGTCTCTCTCACTGTTGGGAGGGGAGACGCTGTGACTGACCAAGAGTTTAAAAACAGGTCTTTTTTCACAGTCCTCTGGGGCCAACAGATCAGATCGGGTAAGAGTCAGGACTCCGGGCTCCTGGACACGCCCACTCCACCCCAATCATGGGGGTCCCAGGCACACTGGAGGGTCCCTAGTGGCCCATAGTCCTCCAAACCTCTGACCGTTCTTGCTTCCTTCTTCCCCCACATCCATCGCCCCTGGAGAGTGGCAGGCAGAGTCCCTCAGGCTCCAATTCCCAGGCCACCCCCCTGGAGAGTGGCAGGCAGAGTCCCTCAGGCTCCAATTCCCAGGCCACCCCCCTGGAGAGTGGCAGGCAGAGTCCCTCAGGCTCCAATTCCCAGGCCACCCCCCTGGAGAGTGGCAGGCAGAGTCCCTCAGGCTCCAATTCCCAGGCCATCCCCCTGGAGAGTGGCAGGCAGAGTCCCTTGGGCTCCAATTCCCAGTCTCTTGGGGCAGCAGGCCTAGCACATCTAGCCCACAAACTAGAGGATCCCCAGCTACCTGTGGAGCCCCAACCCCAAAGCATTGGACCCAGCAAGCAGCTCACATTCACCAAGGGAGCACAGGCTCAGTCTTGCTGGGCCCATGCACCGATGGAACCAGGGGCATTGGCACAAGTTGGGGATTGTCATCCAATCCCTGGTTTCCTGACCCAGCCGGCATCCTGCACTTATTGCCCCTTGGCATGACCAACTTTCCAGAGGCACCTCAGTCCTCAGCCATTCTCAGTCTAGCCTCTCCCGCAGCTCATAGTTAGGACGCAGGAGGTGGAGGCCCCAGACCCCAACTGCCTGCCTGCCGAGTGCCCTGGCTTTATGTAAGGTTGATTGTACTGGTCTCCTGGGCCTTTCTAAGCTTCTCCAAGTGAGGGCTGAGGACAGGGGGTTCTCCATCCTGTGTCCAAAGTAGGTCACAGGCTGTGTGACTGAGAGGAAGTCAGAAGAGGAAAACATTCACTTCAGGGAGGTTCAGAAATGTGCTTCTTGGATCCACGCCCCCCCGCCCCCACACACACAGGGTGCTGGGAATCTGGACTCAAAGGCCACTCACCTGGATACCAGGTCCAGGGCAGAATTTGGACACCCCTCTCGAGTTGAGGCACATTCACTGAGCCCCCACCTGGTGCCAATCCTGAGCACCCCACCCCAGACAAGCGGCAGGCAGGCGAGCATGGGTACCCCACTCCTCTGGTGGCTGGGGGATGTTCAGAGGCTGTCTCAGGCTATGGCTGCCAGTGGCAACACTCTTGTTTCTCAGGTCACAGCTCTAACCTCCAGGATTTGGCAGCATTTGAAAAATAACATTTTCCTAATTACATCAGTGGAGTTGCTTGTTTTTCCTTAGTCACAAGTTGGCTGGGCCTGGGGAGGTGCCAGTAGGTGGGGAACCACATGGCCAGGGATCAGGACTATATTTTCTGGCTAAATCCCTTCTTTTTGCAAACCCTGGAGAGACCACCAGGTTTCCAGGAGCTCCCACCCTTCATGAACTTTTAAGTTCTTTCCTGGCCTCAAGATTCAGGAGGAGGATGGGACCTCAGTTTACTTCAGGAAGCTCCAGGGGAAGGATGCACACCTGGAGTCCAAGACCTGTCTCGGCCTCTGCCCATCTGTGGTTTGGGATGAGTGACAAGGGCAGGCTGCCTTTGCAACCTTGGAGAGCTGCTGTGACACTTGAGTGAGCAGGTTCCACCAGCAGGCATCCCACAGACCTGGCATCCTTCCTTGTTCCTTCAGCAGAGCCAACCCCTCTGCCCCCATGAACTTGGCTGTTTATCATGTGGGCCATGGGCCAGGGACCCCAGGGCCTCTTGGAAAGGTGTCCAAAGAAGGAGAGATGTGGCTGAAATCCTGCTCCCTATGTGGTCTGGGCTTAGGGGAGGGTGTGGGAGCAGAAATGTGGGGGAGAGCTTTCAGGCGTGCAGAATGGGGTAACTAGGAGACCCTGTAGGGGTAGGGCACCTGGGGCCAGAGAATGGCTCTGGCCCAGCTGCCAGCATTCTGGGGCTCACTTTCTGTTCTGTTTTCCATTCTTGGGAGCCCAGGAGGCAGCCTGGGACCCAGAGATGACTGCTCTTACCTGTCTTCTGAGATGGCTGTGTCAACCAATTGCATTTCTGTAAGGATTCAGTGTCATGTGGTCTAAAGAAGTTGATCACCACACAAGCTCTCACTCCACCCTTGGAGCAAGGTGTGAAGTTCAACTTACGAAACTCATAGCCCCACCCCACCCCTGAAGTCCGGGTGGAGACAGCAAAGGAGAGCATCACCCTCCCAGGAAAGCTCAGCCCAGCTTGAGAGCCACCTGCTCCTCTCAGGGACTCTCCGGGACCTGGTGACAGGCAAGGGTTCCAAGTGCATGGGCATGACTCAGTCCTGGTCCATTAGTCCAGGACAAAGGAGAGCATCACCCTCCCAGGAAAGCTCAGCCCAGCTTGAGAGCCACCCGCTCCTCTCAGGGACTCTCTGGGACCTGGTGACAGGCAAGGGTTCCAAGCGCATGGGCATGACTCAGTCCTGGTCCATTAGTCCAGGATAGGTAGCCCTTGGCAAGTCCCTTCACCCTCTTTGAGCTTCTGTTTCCTCATCTGTCTGTCTGCACGTGGTTACTGTAGAGCAGTCACGAGATGGTATGAAGTGCTTTGTGCAGTGCCAGAACCCCAACAAGTTCCTAGTTTTGGAACTAACCCTAACCCTAACCCTCAGGGTCACCCAATTCAAGTTATCTTGAAGGCCTTTGGAGAGCTCAGTTTCGGGTCACCAGTCTATATAATCCATCCAGAGAGGCCAAGGGTAAAGATGGCACAGCCCAGCATGCAGAACAGGAAGGTCATCCCACTATTTAGTGCGTGTTAATTCATGGGCCCTGACCCTGAAAGCCTTCTCAGGAGCTGGGCCCAGTGCTAGGCATCTTCAGGAGTCACATGGTAACACAGAAGGCTGAGCCCCTCCCTGCAAGAAGAATTGCTACCAGCCCCAGTACAGGGTTAAGAGACCTGGATTCAGGGAATGTAAGGAGCTTTAAGGATGCCCCAGGGTGGGGACCATGTGGTACTGATGCTATAACTACCCTGTTAGTTACTGTTCTCATGACTATAACAAAATACCTGACAGAAGCAACTTAAGGGTTTATTATGGCTAACACTTCTACGGTGCATCCCATCATGGTGGATAAGGGTGAGGCAGATGATGACATTGTAACCAGTCAGGAAGTAGAAAGAGATGAATGCTGGTGCTCAGTTCACGTGTGTGTGTGTGTGTGTGTGTGTGTGTGTGTGTGTGTGTGTGCTGACAAATGTCTGAGTGCCCATAGAGGCCATAAAAGGGTACTGGAACCCCATGGCTGGAGTTACAGGCAGTTGCGATCTGCCCCATGTGGGTGCTGACAACCAAACGAGGGTCCTCTGGAAGAGAGACAAGTGTGCCCAACACTGAGCCTTCTTTCCAGGACAACATTTTCCTCTTAAAAAAAAATATTTTTTTGGTCTTTTTGAGACAGGGTCTCCTTGTAGCCCCAGCTGTCCTGGATTCACCATGGAGACCAGGCTGGCCTCAAACTCACAGAGATCCACCTGCCTCTGCCTCCTGAGTGCTGGGATTAAAGGCATGTGCCACCACGCTGGGCCTTCCTCTTAAATTTTTAAATTTTATTTTATGTATATGAGTGTTTTGCCTACATGTAAGTGCACCCATGTGTGCAATGCCTACAGAGGCCAGAAGAGGGTGTCTGATCCCCTGGAACTAGTTATGGAAGGTTGTTAGCCACCATGTGAGTGCTGTGAATTGAACCTGGATCCTCTGGAACAGTAAGTGTTAACTGCTGAGCTGTCTATCCAGCCCCTTCTCCTTTTTTTCATTCAATCTGAACCCTTTGCCCATAGAATGGCACTGTCCATATTTAGGGTGGGTTTTCCCACCTCAGTTAACCCAGTCTAGTCTAACTCCCTCAAAGACACGGCCAGAGGTTTGTCTCCTGGGTGATTCTAAATCCTGTTTAGATGACAGTGTTAACTGTCACAAGTCCACCCTTATGAACTTGACAACTAAACACAGCACTTTGAAATCATAACATTCCCTCCTTGTCCCCATAGACTCACAGCCATCCCATAATGCAAAATGCATTTAGTCCATCTATAAACGTCTCCATAGTCTTTAACAGTACCAACACTGTTTAAAAGTTCAAAGCCAAGGGGCTGGAGAGATGGCTCAGTGGTTAAGAGCACTGACTGTTCTTGCAGAGGACCTGGATTCGATTCCCAGCACCCACGTGGCAGCTATGAACCATCCTTAACTCCAGTTCCAGGGGAATCAGAAGCCCTCTTCTGACTTCCACGGCATTGCATGACATGGGTGCACTCACATACATGCAGACAATACACTCATACACATAAAATAAAAATAATTTTAAAAAAGTTCAAAGTCCAAGTCTCACCTGTGACTCAGGGCTATCTGTTTACTATGAGCTCTTATAAAATAAAAAAGTTGCACAGTTCCAATATTCAATGGCACACAGTAAACATTCCCGTTCCAAAAGGGAGGAA